AGACCAGGTTGATGTACTTTGTCTTTCTCCACAAAAATTGGTATTTTATTACTCACAGCAATCCCTGTCAAAAAGACCATAAGAATTCACCAACTCAGCCACACCAGCATTTTTATATTTTATATTTATAAAAGCATAAAGCAGTGTGCACCTGTACAAGAGTTTGGTGCTGTCTATTTGTTAAAGCAGAATTGCAGGCTAATTGTTGAATACATGGATAAAATTCATATAAGAGAGCTAATTTACACACCAAAGCATTTGTATTTCTGTCCATTTAATTTTCAGATTAACACTGTTCTGCCATACCACCCAGCCCTGCCCTGCCTAGTAGAGGAGAAGACTCAATTTTTCATTGCTGCAGTTCAGTAACACAAACAGGTCTTGTCCCACCCCTCAGCCTGTGACTGGGCAGTAAAAAGGGAAACAGCAAAGTTAGGAGATCCTCACTCAGTCACTTTACCCACTTGTCCAATCAGCAATCAGTTTGCTCTACAGAAACAAACTGATTGGCTCCTTGTGCATCTACTCCCTCACCCAGTCTAAGCTTTTCTGTACAGGGACAACAAGGGGCTAATACTAAGTACCAGGTTGTAATATTTTGCAACCACAACATAGTGAAGGCCGAGGAGACAAACGTCAGAAGTATCGTACAAAAACATTATAAACCCCTAGAGGATTTGCTACACAGGACTTTTAAGGAAACACACTATTATAGTAAAAATATATAAAATTTTATTACATCATACAAAAGTTAAAACCTCAAATGTTGCACATAATGATAAAACATACAGATGTTGTACATAACTTTTCATAGAGTTTACAAATATGCATAAAGTTACCAATATAGTCATCCACGTGAGTAACCTTGTCTGTTCAATGCATTTCAGAGGTCAAAGCCTGTTTCTTAAGAAACAACAACACTCAACATAAAGAACAACACTCAACATAAAGGATAAAAAGACATGTGTAACCAATTTAAAAATATATTGGAAGGAAATCCTCAATGAGAGATGAAACATGAGGACCCAGCTCTGGCAGTTGTAAGAAGAAAATTATATCACTGGTCGTTAATAATTCTCAAGTGGTTAGTAATGCAGTATCTGGAAAATAAATACCAGATTCCAGCATCCATTAGATAAAGTAAGATAATAAAGTGGCCACCAGGTCCTTCCATCTAGATCAAAAGCATTTGACCTAGATAGAGGGACCTGATGGCTTCTTTATGATCTTACCACTGATTACATTTGGTAATAGAGAGTATGTAATAAATGCTGGAAACTGGTGCTTATTTTCTGCATACTGCATTACTAACCAGTTGAGAATCAATAAGGACCAGTGATATCAATTTCTTCTTACAACTGCTGGATCCAGGTCCTCCAGTTTCATCCCTCATCAAGGTTTTCTATTCAATACGTTTTTAAATTGGTTACACATGTCTTATTGTCCTTTTTGCAGTTGTTGAATGTGGTTGTTTTTGAAGAAACGTTGAACAAGCAGATGACCCCACTTGGATAAGTATACTGGGGGCTTAGAAACTTTATGCATGTTTATAAACTCTATGAAAAATTATGTACAGCATCTGTATGTTTTAACAATATTTGGAGTTTTATTTTTTTTTTTAGTGTAAGAATTTATTTATAATGTTTGTATGACATATAGTGGAAGATGTGGTACCTGTAAAACCTATATCTTAAAGGGAGGTCATTTGCCCCCATATATTTACTTTTTCAACGTCAAACGTAATTAAATTTGTAAAAGAATGATACTCATGTTTGAGTTCTGTAATAAAATATTGGAGATATACTGTATATATACACTAAGAGTTTATTTTAAACATATACTGTAAATGCTCAGTAGATAAGAAAGGTAAAAAAAAAAAGTAAGTAAATAGTTAAAGTTGTAAAAGAATGATACTCATGTTTGAGTTCTGTAATACAATATTGGATATACTGTATATGTTATGCCAATAGTTTATTTTAAACATATACTGTAAATGTTCAGTAGATAAAAAAGATATTTAAAAAAAAAAAAATCCAGTCAGGGGAGGGGCCTGAACATGTCGCCATGAGCAACGAGATGCTCCGGGCTCCTGCCAGCTATGTGTGCCTGTCTGCCTTGTACTTGACTGCCCTGAAATGACCTGAGGGAGGTCCCGGTTGACAAGGAGTATCCAGCGGTAGCAGGGCGGTTCCGGTGGTGGTTGGCGAGTGCGGGGGACCCTCCTGGTGCCGACTCTCAGAGCGGCCGGATGGCTTGTGGTCAGCAGCAGCTGTGAGGCATACAAGAGTCCTGGGTTCCCGGTGGGACAGGAGTGGGAGGCGGCTGCTGGGAGTGCCCTGGCATTAGAGGACTGCCCAGTCCACAGGGATATCTTAAAGTTTGAGGAGAGCAAGGAGGCTCTGCGAACAAAGAAGAAACAGGGATTTGGAGGGATCCCCCCTGTGCTGAGACACTATCCTCAGGAGACCTAGAGATCCCCCCAGGCCATCACTAATGTTCAAGAGTCCCCCCCACAGGTGTGTTTGGAAGCCTGACACGGAGGCCATGACGGGAGCCGAGGAGTGAACAGGGACTGATCAGTCCTGAAATGTTGGTGCAGAGGGTGATGTTGAGTTGCCATGGGCAACGGCAGGACATTTAAACTTCTATTGTACCTGATGCATATGTGACAAATCAAAGTCAAACATACATGAGCACTGGGGGAGACAGAGGACTATACTGCGGGGGGGGGGTTCTCTTAGGTTAATGGAACTGTTGAACTTATTTTGGCCCCCAAAGTAATAGACCAGGGGTGGCAAAAGTCACTAGAAGTAAAAGAAAAAGGGCCTTTTCCTGGGGATGATATTAATACAGTACAACAGAAAACCTGGTGCAGGGATGCTGTCAGGGCTCCAGGGTGTGACCAGAGGTATGTGACTGACGCAGGGAAACGCAGACTCCAGATATGATATAAACAATATAATTTATTAACACAATACATAAACGCAGTGCAATACTAAAACATAACACAGTGCAAACGAACCTAACCAAACCACCCACAGATAACAGTACATACAATGCAAGCGTCGTCAGGCAGGCCGGGATTATCAACAGGAGGTCAGAACGTATAGGGGGTTAAGTAGGAGAATGGTCAGACAAAGCCAGGGATCAGGAGCAGGAGAATGGTCAGACAAAGCCAGGGATCAGGAGCAGGAGAATGGTCAGACAAAGCCAGGGATCAGGAGCAGGAGAATGGTCAGACAAAGCCAGGGATCAGGAGCAGGAGAATGGTCAGACAAAGCCAGGGATCAGGAGCAGGAGAATGGTCAGACAAAGCCAGGGATCAGGAGCAGGGTCAGCAACGAATCAGACAGGAACAGGGAGCAGGAACAGGATACAGGGCCCAGGAGAAACACACACCAAGGCAGAGTCTGCAGGTCTGGCCATCTCTTAAATACATCAGTATAAGCAGTTTCAGGTGTTTGGCTGGCTGCAAGGTTGAGTCTCTGATTGCTGGGAGCACCCGCTGGCCAGCCCTGGTACTGCAGTCCATAAGGCAGGTGAGTCCCACCATTGCTGGCCAGTCCATTCCTGACAGTACCCCCCCCCCCCCCTCAAGGAGCGGCCTCAGGACGCTCCAAACAGTCCTAGCTGGGCAAAATGTTCCACCACCCGGGTCTGGTAACTGGCGGGATATCAGAGACTGGCACACCGGGCAGGACTCCGGGCAGCGGCACACCGGGCAGGACTCCGGGCAGCGGCCCATCGGGCAGCGGCACACCGGGCAGCGGCACACCGGGCTGGACTCCGGGCAGCAGCACATCGGGCTGGACTCCGGGCAGAGGCACATCGGGCTTTGCTCCGGGCAGAGGCACATCGGGCTGGACTCCGGGCAGAGGCACATCGGGCTGGACTCCGGGCAGAGGCACATCGGATCACCAGGCGAAGCGGCAGGCACCGGGCCCCCAGGCGGGGCGGCAGGCACCGGGCCCCCAGGCGGGGCGGCAGGCACCGGGCCCCCAGGCGGGGCGACAGGCACCGGGCCCCCAGGCGGGGCGACAGGCACCGGGCCCCCAGGCGGGGCGACAGGCACCGGGCCCCCAGGCGGGGCGACAGGCATCGGGCCCCCAGGCGGAGCAGCAGGCACCGGGCCCCCAGGCGGGGCGACAGCCATCGGGCCCCCAGGCGGGGCGACAGCCATCGGGCCCCCAGGCGGGGCGACAGGCATCGGGGCCCCCAGGCGGGGCGACAGGCTTCGGGCCCCCAGGCGGAGCGGCGGGTGCCGGGCCCCCAGGCGGGGAGACAGGCATCGGGCCCCCAGGCGGGGTGACAGGCATTGGGCCCCCAGGCGGGGCGACAGGCATCGGGCCCCCAGGCGGAGCGGCGGGCGCCGGACCCCCAGGCGGAGTGACAGGTCTCGGGCCCCCAGGCGGAGCGGCGGGCGCCTGACCCCCAGGCGGAGCGACAGGTCTCGGGCCCCCAGGCGGAGCGGCGGGCGCCGGACCCCCAGGCGAAGCGACAGGTCTCGGGCCCCCAGGCAGAGCGGCGGGCGCCAGACCCCCAGGCGGAGCAACAGGTCTCGGGCCCCCAGGCGGAGCGGCGGGCGCTGGACCCCCAGGCGGAGCGACAGGCACCGGGTCACCAGGCACGACAGTGGGCTCCGAGTCAACTGGCATGACCGCTGGCACTGGGTCAGACAATGGATCGTCTGGCTGGACAGCGGCATCGGGTCACCAGGCATCAGGTCATTTGGCTCGACAGCGGGCACCGCGTCATCTGGCAAGGCAGTGGGCTCCGAGTCAACTGGCATGACCGCGGGCACTGGGTCAGACATTGGATCGTCTGGCTGGACAGCGGGCATCGGGTCACCAGGCATCAGGTCATTTGGCTCGACAGCGGGCACCGCGTCATCTGGCAAGGCAGTGGGCTCCGAGTCAACTGGCATGACCGCGGGCACTGGGTCAGACATTGGATCGTCTGGCTGGACAGCGGGCATCGGGTCACCAGGCATCAGGTCATTTGGCTCAACAGCGGGCACCGCGTCATCTGGCAAGACAGTGGGCACCAAGTCACCAGGCACGACAGTGGGCTCTGAGTCAATTGGCACGACAGCGGGCACCGGGTCATCAGGTACCGGATTGTCTGGCTCGACAGCGGGCATCGGGTCACCATGTATGACAGCGGGCACTGGGTCACCAGGCATCAGGTCATTTGGCTTGCCAGCGGGCACCGCGTCATCTGGCAAGGCAGTGGGCACCGGGTCACCAGGCATTGGATCGTCTGGCTCGACAGCGGGCATCGGGTCACCAGGTATGACAGCGGGCACTGGGTCACCAGGCATCAGGTCATTTGGCTCGCCAGCGGGCACCGCGTCATCTGGCAAGGCAGTGGGTACCGAGTCACCAGGTACGACAGCGAGCTCTGAGTCAATTGGCACGACAGCGGGCACGGGTCAGGTACCGGATCATCTGGATCAACAGCGGGCATCGAGTCAACTGGCCTAATAGGATCATCAGGCTGGATCAGTTCATCATGCTGGGTAGAGGCATCAGCTGAGTGGAGGCATCAGGCTGAGTGGAGGCATCAGGCTGAAGAGAGGCATCAGGCTGAAGAGAGGCATCAGGCTGAAGAGAGGCATCAGGCTGAAGAGAGGCATCAGGCTGAAGAGAGGCATCAGGCTGAAGAGAGGCATCAGGCTGAAGAGAGGCATCAGGCTGAAGAGAGGCATCAGGCTGAAGAGAGGCATCAGGCTGGGTACAGACCTCAGGCTGAAGTGCGGGTGCCGAGGCACCAGGCTGAACCACGGAAGGCAGGTTCTCAGACGGCAGGCTCACCGGTTTGGATACTGGCAGGATGGTATTGGTTGTGTAGCCCTGTTTTGGGGGGGGTTATGTGAAATGGCCCACACCAAACAAGCTATGGCGCTAACCTGTATGAGTAGGCAATCCTGAGCCTTCGCTATATGGAAGGGGGGTTGTGATAATACAAATGGCAGTGCCTCCACCTAGAATAGGGATCCTGCAATTGAGGAGACTCACCCCTTTCTAGGAATGTAACAGGTAGACAACTTAAAGTAACTATACATAGCAGTATTAATGCACCCAGCTTATATTTCTAGCATGATAAACATGTCACCACACACCTGGTATGAGATTAATGCAAAGTTTATATATAAAGCAGCCACATAAAACAGGATGCATAAGAATAACATTCAGGAATTACAATTTAGCATAAATTGGGAGGTTGCAATTATTCCCGGGTATATGTGCATGTAGTATACCGAATACCTCCAACCATGGGTTATAGCGCAGTCCGGTTGCAGGGGCCCCTGGAGAGGTGAGAGTCAATAAGATGCACGCTTCCACTTTAGATGCTGTGATGGCGTCCAAGTAACATGCGGATGATTGCACTGCTTGTCTGAAAATCAGCGATGCATCACCTAAAAGGATAAAATGCTCTATCTATCCTCACTCTTAGTCCCTATCCCTAAACTGGGCTGTCACTGCAACCGGGCCTCTATCTGTCTAAGTGGCCGTCGGATGCCTAACCTACCTCTAGCCTAATCTATCCAACACTCCCTATGCTAATCCTAGCTAAAGAGAGAGATCCAGACCAATAAGGCTCTTCAAGCTGCAAAGATACACTGCAATTAATAGAAAGTTCACCTGACAGTCTTATGCAGGTAAAAACACTGATCTATATATATATATTATCATTATTCTATTTACACACTGCAGAATCCTTATAGTTGTATATATATATATATACAACTATAATATAAAGGATTCTGCAGTGTGTAAATAGAATAATGATAATGAACCACAAATCTCTCTTACAGAGTTATTAGGGTTCCTATACAGAAGTTGAAATATAACAGAGGCAGACCTAATCTGCTTCAGTAACAACTACATAGATAACAGCCTTGTTAATCTGGATCATTACTCACAGAATCACCATACAGTTCTCCCCAGATACATAGCACATGGCAGGCTGGAACCCTCTGCCTGATACTTCCTGGAAAACAACTATATAACATCCTGGGGTTTCCTGACCTCCTTGTAGGGGCAGGAAGCACACCCAGGGACTTGTCTGTAATGGGACCTCTATGGTAGTAGCTGTATATGGATGTAAACAAACCACAACTAGTGTATAAAATAACAGTTCCCTACACTCTCCCCCTGGTGAAACCTTTACGTCCCATCAAAGGAAGCTCACATTATATACAATAATGAAATTCAATTTCAAATACACAACGTTGTCCTCTCTCCATTACAATGGTTTGCTAAAGAAAACAACAGATTAGTATAAATACATGCCAGGTGATGCAAATACAGGTAGCATATTGACCAGATTAGATACTGCCCCTACCCAGGCATGGTATAGATGGGGCTGAGGAATGATGCTGGGATCTCCCAAAGTATCATAAGTCAAAACAGGTGGTGGATGTCTAACCCTTCCTCCTCTACGCACTTCCCTATGAGGTAATCCCTGATTTTCAGGTACTGAATGAGGGCTTTGTGTCATGGGAAGAGATGGCACTGATTGTGGAGTAGAACTAGATCCTTGGTTAGGCGTACTCACTGACTCAGGCACAAACTCTGGAGATCTAGGGTTCAGTGACTCTCTTGGAAGAGGAGAAGCTGTTGGGCTCTGAATCTCAGGAACTACAGTCCAGTCACTCTCATTAGAGTCAGGAGGGTCAGTTGTAATGTTAGCCTGAGGTTGTGGGGAGTCCCTACCCACGGTATCTTCTGAGTCATCATCATCAGTGACTTGAGGAATAGGGAGCAAATGGTTTCGATGCCAAGCTTTCACTCTACCTTCTGGTCCCTTTATTTTGTACACAGGAATTCCAGGTAATTTGCTCACCACTGTAAAAATCTCATTCCTCCATCGGTCAGCTAATTTATGCTTCCCAGAAGGGCCCAAGTTTCTAAGCAATACCTGGTCACCAGGTTTAAATTCTCTGTATCTCACACGATGATCAAACCGCCTTTTGTTCCCTTCATTTATCTTGGCAGCATTTTCTTCCGCCAAACGATAAGCTGACTTAAGGGTATCTTTCAGACGAGCTACATACTGATAGTGACTTTGATGATCGACACCATCAGTGGAGACCCCTAGCAAGAGGTCTATTGGCAGTCTAGGCTCCCTTCCAAACATTAAGAAATAAGGGGAGAATCCCGTAGTCTCATGTCTTGTGCTATTGTAAGCATGAACCATGGCTTCAACTTTACGACTCCAAGTACGTTTATCATCAACCTGTAGAGTACCTAACATATCAAGCAAAGTTCTGTTAAATCTCTCAGGGAGAGCATCACCTTCAGGGTGATAAGGGGTAGTCCGGCTTTTATGGATGTTGAGCAGTTGAAGTAATTCCTTAACTAGTCTGCTCTCAAAGTCTCTTCCCTGATCCGAATGCAATCTGTGGGGTAAGCCATAGTGGATGAAATACTTCTCCCAAAGCACTCTGGCGACTGTCACTGCCTTTTGATCCTTGGTAGGAAAAGCTTGTGCATACCGGGTGTAGTGATCAGTCACTACCAACAACACGTTCCCAATTCCTCTTGAATCATTGTCAATGCATAGAAAATCGATACAGACCAAATCCATGGGGCCTGAACTCTGTAAATGTCCCATTGGGGCAGCTCAAACTGGGAGGGTTTTTCGTCTCAGACAACGGAGGCACCTTGTACAAAGGCTAGTCACAGTTTCTCTCATTCTGAGCCAATAAAAGCGGTCCTGAATCAAGCCATAGGTCTTCTCAGGCCCCAAATGACCATGATGATCATGTAGACTTCTGAAAACCATCTTTCGAAAACAATAAGGGAGAACCAGTTGGCGTCTTCCTGGGTGGTCATGATACAGAGTCACACGGTAGAGTAGGCCCTTTTCAATCCTGAATTTATCCCAGTCTCTCAGAAATGAGCTACATTCAGCAGGCGAGGTTTTCTTCAATATCTCTGGATCATTAACACTAACTGCTCTATATAAAGGTCCAATCAAAGGGTCAGCCTTTTGACTCTTAATCATCCGCTGAGGAGATATAGAACAGTTCTCAAATAAGCCTAGGGCTGCTGGGTAAGCAAACATGTCTGGTACAGCATCAGGTCCACTTCCTATGGAGTCTATGAACCGCATCTCTGAGAAAGCCACGTTATCGTCCACTACTGCAGCCATAGAACATAATGCTCCAACACCAGGACCAGGGACTTCCTCCCATTCATTGTCTTCAGAGACAGGCGTTAACCCAGGGCGTCTGGATAACGCATCTGCACCGATGTTCTTTGGACCAGGTTTGTATTTCAAGGTGAATTGATAATTTGATAGAGCAGCCAACCAGCGATGTTCAGTGGCATCTAGTTTTGCTGTGGTTAAGACATATGTCAAAGGATTGTTATCCGTTCTTACTTCGAAAGCTGCTCCATAAAGATAATCATGTAACTTATCGACAATAGCCCATTTGAGAGCTAAGAATTCCAACTTGTGAACTGGGTAATTGTGCTCGCTAACTGTGAGGCTTCAGCTGATGAAGGTGACGGGTCGCAACCCAGCTGGATACTCCTGGTGCAACACTCCACCCAGTCCTTCAAAGCTAGCATCTACATGGAGAACATACGGCTTTCGAGCATTAGCATAGGCCAGAACGGGTGCCTCTGTTAACTTCTTCTTTTACTGAATGAAGGCATCCTCACAGGCTGTAGTCCACTTATAGCCAAAAGGATTTTTGGTGGATTTCTTCTGTTTTTCTTGACCGCTCGAATCAGTCTTCAACAAGTCATGTAGGGACTTGGCCGCTTTGGAATATCCTTCTACAAATCTGCGGTAATAACCACAGAATCCAAGGAATGAACGTAACTCTGTGATATTCTGAGGTCGTGGCCAATTCACAACTGCTTCAACTTTGGCAGGATCTGTGGCCACTCCTTCAGCCGAAACAATGTGGCCTACATAGGTAACAGATGAACGGCAGAACTTACACTTGTCTGCAGACAACTTCAGCCCTTTCTCCTTTAGACGATGCAACACTCGCATGAGACGTTCTTCATGTTCCTCCAATGAAGCTCCAAATACAATAATGTCATCGAGGTACACAATACACTCTCGTGGCACTAAATCACCCAAAACGCGTTCCATTAATCTTTGAAATGTTGCTGGTGCACCCCTTATGCCTTGTGGCATGCGGGTAAACTGATAGAAGCCCACAGGACATATGAAGGCTGTTTTCTCTTGGTCTTCAGGAGCCATTGAAACCTGATAGTACCCTGACCGCAAATCAAGAGCTGTGAACCACTGATTTCCATTCAGAGCTTCCAAAGCCTCTTCTATCCTGGGTAGTGTATACTGATCAGGTATTGTCCTTCGATTCAGGGTTCGATAGTCCACACATAGGCGAATAGATCCACACTTCTTTCTTACCACAACAATAGATGAAGCATAGGGACTTTTACTATCCGCAATGATCCACTGATCTTTCATCTGATGTAAGGTCTGTCTG